AAATCCTCCTAAAACCAATACAACACCAACTTTTTCTCGCAATTGTACGCAACTGTAACTGTATATATTAGTAAGAAGATGTAAACGTCATTTCAGGATGTTACAAAAACCCGACGGGACATAAAAATGAAGTTATGGGTAATATTTCACAACTCTAAATGCGGGTTTGCGCTTGTTAGGTGCGTACAGGGAATACTGATGAAATGAAAAGCAAGGAGGAGAATTTTTTTGTTTTCTCTCTTATCGCCTCCCCTTCTGTTGCAGCCTTGGTTGAAAAAAAAAACTGAATTAGATTGCGTCACACATTTCATACCATAAACTTAACATCAGCCTAACCTTCAGTCGTTCATTCCTCCTTTTTTAGCCTTTTCCACTGTTTTATTCTTTTCTTTACTTTTTTTCTGCTATCATAGCCAAGATCCAACCCCTGTATGAGACATCCACACCCTCTATTTGCTGCTGCCCACTATGACAGGATGCACTTTCTCACATTTTCTTTTTCAGTTACAAAAGAAAACAACAAGAGTGAGAGGAAGAGTGAGAGGAAAAAGCAGAGAGCATATTGTTAGAAAAATTACGTGAAAGGGCCAAAAATGTGTCTATGGTAAACAGACAGCAAAGGTGAAGTTGAGATTGTTCCTTTTTCTATTGGTCGTCTCTGTGGTCAGTAAAGCTAAACACCCAGCACCACTACAACCCACCAAATCTAATTACTGCACCTCCCAAGCACATATTTCACAGTTCTCTACTCTTCTCAAATAACAAGATGTTCAGAAATCGCAGCGCTTGATTGGTGCACTGACTGTGTGTGCACCAATCATCAGGACACCGAATCCCATTAAAATTTGCCATTACCTGCTCCTGCATGAGAGTGGCCAATTTGCAGACACCCCAATCAAACAGTAGTCTCACTATGCCCCATTCCTCTTTGGGTAATAGTGGGTGCGCCCTGAACGTGAACCACATAGTGCAGGTTTGTGGCGAACAGGCAGAGTTTTTAGTCTTGAAATGGTGCGTGCAACTTTTGCTGACCTAAATCCATTATGTGGAAAAATTTTGGCCCATTCATCTTTACAATGTTGCTTTAGTTCGTTGATGTTACATATGCACAGTCCTCTTAAGGTGCCATCACAGCATTTCTGGACTTTGACCAAGCTATTACAACACCTCGAGTCTTTTGTTTTTGCAGCCATTCGGTTGTATGTTTGCTCGTGTGCTTGGGATCATTGTGCTGTTGCATGACCCACCCACACATGACCTCACATTTGACTGAAACAAAGCGCCCAGGTTTTGTGACTCTAAAACAAACCCATGTCATAGTTCATATGAGATGTGTGTCCTGGTACGCTTTGGTTTTGTCTGTCTTGTGGTTTGTTTGGACGCAACTTTGCAAACAAGTTGGAAGCAGCTGGTTGCTATGGAAGGAGTAAGCATGTACTAAGAGGCCATGGCGAATCGCTCATACCTTATCAGCTTATCAGTCACCAGTCATGAGCTAATGAGCATGCTGGGTTCCTTGGTCAACAATCTAAGATGCCCCCCCCACACACACACACACTTGAGAGTGGGAAAAGACAATAAGGCTGTGAATGCGACTGGTGAAAAAAGCAGCAAATATAAAGGTCCAGGTCAGTTCTTGTGTGTTGCAGCAAGTGTGTGTGTATTAAGGTAAGGTTTTGGTGCTCACTTATTAAAAGCGCTCAGCAGTTGTGCCTTTTTCTCATCTGTTTGAGGGTACTTCAAACTCAAAGATAGGCACATATTTTTCTTTTTTTCTAACATTAAAAAAATTGAATATCAGACCCAATTTCATCAATCACAGTTTTTGCTACTTGGGTTGCCTCATGGGAGACTTCATTTGCAGCAGTAATCACAGGGCAAAAGACTGCAGAGAGAGATAAAAAGACGAACACACAAAGAGGGATAACTCCTCATGATCTCCTCACAGCAGCATGAGCTGACGGTATCCCAGTGGCAATGTTGCCTTCCCCCCACCCCTTTGTGCCCACACACAAAAAAGACGAATCTTAAAATCTATGAAAAGAAAGTAAAACATGACAAAAAGCCCACAACAAGCTGCAACTTGTGTCAAGTCTCAAGAGTTTGCTTCATACGGCGGTCCCTCACCAAGGACTCCCAGAGGACTGTAAGCAAGTCTTACTAGAGCCAGATGGCCCTGATCTTAGGTATTCAGCTGCTGCAGTAACAGCCAAGGAGGTGTCACAGTCAGTGCAAAACACAACCTGCCATTGCCGCCAATAAACACATGCACACACAAACAGTGGAGACAACAGATGAGAACGCAGGGTACTGTCATTGTCACGGTATAGTGAAAAAAGACATGGATTAAAGCTAGACTGCACATATCTTTAGATAAAAAAAGAGAAATGCTGTATTGTGAATTCCTGCATGCGCAGATACAATGGTAGATGAATGAACTATAAGCACAGGGTGTGGTCAGCTGCAGCTATTTAGCTGGTACCATTTTAGACAAGCATTGAATTGTGAGTTTGGTGGACACTGTGCTGTTGCTAATTTCATTTTAAACTCTGAGTGAATCCCATGTGCTCTCATGGCAGATGAGTTTTCAGTATGGCAGAGAAAGCTATATTGCAGTCTTTTGGTCTGTGTGCTTATCAGTTACACCGCATACTGTCCAAATAAACTATATGGTCTTACTGTGAGAGAATATTTCTTGCCCTCTGCATATATATATATATATATATATATATATATATATATATATATATATATATATATATATAATATATATATATGTATGTGTGTGTGTGTGTGTGTGTGTGTGTGTGTGTGTGTGTGTGTGTGTGTGTATATCTGTGTGTGTGTGTATATCTGTGTGTGTGTGTGTGTGTGTGTGTGTGTGTGTGTGTGTGTGTGTGTGTGTGCATTACATTTATGTGTGAGCCATGTAAATTTATTCAAATGTGGGTATGTGGATGCCTCTGTGCATGCAGCTGTACAGTCTCACAAATATGCACTGTGGCTTTTTCTAGCCAAGTCACCCATCACGGCGACCCATTTTCAGTCTCCCTAGATCCCAGACCACATCCCTATGTTTACTGCGAATGTGTCCCTTGTGCCTTGTGCCATATCCCATAATCCTTTGCCCCAGTGCCAAGAACCAGTGTTGGGCTATTGTCCTCCTCACCTGTTCTGTATTGCCAGTCGCCCGCAACACTTCCTGTTTTCCTTCATCTTTGGCCAACTGTTCTCCATTTTTCACCCCCCTCGTTTTTTCCTCTGGCTTTTCTCCACTTCCACCTTTACCTTCATACTTTTGCTTTCATTTACATTCCTCATTTTTTTCTCCATCACTTTGTTTTCAGTTAACTGAACACCTGAATGAAATTATAATAACCTAAAACCCAAAATATTCCAGTTTCCTAATTTGTCTTTCCTTTTTCCATTCTCAACCCTTGATAGATGGATGCAGGGCCCCCCAGAACTCATTACAGATGGAAAACAAAGAGATTGCACTGCTCTGCTCCTCTGACACTTACTCACATTCACTCCCATCATCACATTCTCATCCCTCCTTAAGTGCTGGGTCTTGCCTGGGCAGGAGAGCTGCTGTCTTCCTCTGGGCTCAAGAGGAAGCCTCGTTGAGCTGATTCCAATAACTTTTCATTTTCCTTCTGCTCCTGTGGACTGCCCTGAGTTTGCTCTGTGCTCTTTCACACAGCCACAAACACACACTAGTACACACACTCATATGCACATGCCAGGACTTGTAGTTCAAAATTTGGTGTGCTTGTTCCTATTTTTTCAATCTCTTGTTTAAAATCGGTATGTGTGCCTACACTTTGCATGCCCTGCGCTTCGGCACAGTTAATTTGCTTTAAAATAATTAATAATGTATCAAACTAAGAATTAATATGGCAGGATATTAAGCCCTTTAAACATAAGTTCAGGGCTTCCAACGTAATTAGACAGCCACACAAAATCCTCGTCTTTCAAATTTTTAATGAGGAACAAAGACAATACCCAAGTTAAGAGAAGAGGAACCGTTGCACCGAATGACATCACGTTTCATGTTCCTGCAAACTGCAACATGTTCTGGTTTTAAGACTTACCAGAGGGTTGCATTTTGCTTTTGACAGTTCAAAAGCAAATTGCAACCCAAACATATTTAATTGTGTAATGAGCAAAGTACCTAAATGTGGAAAATGCTGGCATTTCTGCTTGCATAATCACTTAAATTATTAATCGCTTCTTGAAAAATAACTTTTTCAAATCGAATGGACATTTGCAGCTCTATACCTAGAAGACTCCCACCTGAATAGCACCCAGTCATCTGCTTTTGGGGTTGTTTCTAACAATAACTGACTGACAATTCTGGGCCAGGCCTCTAAAATACCCCCACCGCATGTGGATGTGACAGCCAAGGAGGCCTAGCTTGTGCACTGTCGGCCAGCAATTGCTCAGCTTCATCCAGGCCTGGAAACATGGCAGATGGCAGTAGGAGTGAACAGAGGAGGAAAAAGACACCATGCGTGTGTCCATGAATGCGAGGCAAACAGAGACAGGTAGAATGACTGAGAAAAAGGTGTAAACATGTGACCACATGTGCTTGACTGTCTATGATACCTTCATTCATCACCTCTAAATCGCTGCAAAAAAATGGTGTAATATCTTTACTGAAACTAAAGTACCAACCTTTAGCAACAAATCAATAAAATGCATGTTAGGTATGGCTTTACCACACATTCTTTAACCATCACTTCAGGAAAACCATTTTACACGGCAAAAGAATTTGTATCAAATCAAAGCATCTACAGCTGAAGACATCGTTTTTTATCCCCAAAAAGTAAACAAATAAGTAATAAATAATAAACTAAAAAGAGTAGGGCACTATCTACAGCTGTTCCAAACAGGCTTCACGAGTTAACAGATGTCATCTTTTGAGCTCATGGACGTACGTGTTCATGATTTATTTTGTAGTTACGCCTCTGCACACTGTTACATAATTCCAGATTTACCTCGGATGATGGACAGCTTGGCGCTGGTGACAATCTCGCCTTCGCTGTTCTCAGCCACGCATTCATAGACGTTCTCGTCACGTGGCGCTCGGAGAGGCTGGATTCTCAGAACTGCACCGGCACCCTCGTCAAACTCTATGGTCTGTGGAGTTGAAGTGTAGGGAACACGGTTAAGTCAGACAAATGTGTGATTTGGACTGAAAAACTACTACTTTAACCTGAAGCAACAGGTAGGCAAGAATGGCAAACCTGAGGAAAATAAGATTCTCACATTTCCTAAGGAGATACAAGGACGAGTGTGTCATCGGTGCTCCCAAAATGTGAGAAATCGTTTTCAATTCCACCAAGATATCATTGCTTGGAAAGGTACCGTGTTGGTAATGTTTTATAGCCTGAGGCCATCAGAAATGTAAAAAAAAAAAAATCATAAGGAAGCATACTCTCTCTACAAACAGTGTTTGTGCTTTGTGATTTTATCTGTTGATTTGATCTTTAATTATGCCCTTTGTTCTCTATAAAGCCTTTTGTTTTGAACCTCAATAAAGGAGCCTCTTCAAAACAAAAAATATCAGACAACGGTCAGAATACTGGTTTGGTTATGATAAAAATATATTATTTGCTATTATTACTGTTATTCTACAAGAAGAGCAATGTAAACAAAAACTTACTGAAAATGTAACAATGCGTGTGACTGACAACTGGACAGTTTTACAACAGTAGTCGCAGAAATTGGCCCCTGGCTAGTATTTAAATAGCCTTGTTTGAGCTCCCTGAACACCAGCATATCAACAGGCATGTATCCTGAAGCAATGAGCTGAACTTCAAGACTTGGGTAAAAGACTAGAATTTAAATTATGGAAAATCTCGGTTAATTAGCCCTTGATTTGAATATTTCCCATGCCTTTCTCTTTTGCCCTCATTCTGGACGTGTGAAGTGTCAGTGTAGATGGTCAAGACTGCCATTCTCACAGCAAACCTACTCCTCCAGTATCTGTCCTTCCCCGCAAAAGTTAACACCGTCTCAGCCAAGGACTCACTGCTGTGAACTCTGAGCAAAGCATGACTATAAGATGCAAGTACAAGTCTTCAGCAGCCCTGCTGCTCCACTGTTGCACATCTCAGGGCTGAGCCGCTAATTAGGCTAAAAACACTGCAGAGCACGGCATCATGATTGATATCAAAGCAGCTGTCTAGAGGGTGGAAAAGGGAAAAAAACCCCAGCTACTTCAAAACCCCTTTATAAATTTTTTTTATTTAATTTTATGATAAATGGAGAAAAAGAAGCGTCCGTTCTGGCGGGCTCCTTCACGCCCTTGGCTTTGTTTCCTACTTAGCATGCAGACGAGGCAAACGCATAAACACAACTTGTCTTTTAATTTTGTCCTCAGTGGAAATGCTGATCTCCCCTTGTCGATGGTGCCATTTTTTGCTTTTTTAGCCCCTCCCCCTGTGGCTACCTTCATGCCGCACTGTGCATGTCCGTGTGTGTGCGTACATGTGTGCGCATCCCTGCACTGTCACTGTCATCGTTGTTAACGAAAGCAACTTTTTAATTAAGAGACACTGAGCATCAATCAAGACTTTTAGAGATGCCATCTGGGATGCCTGCCGAGAAGTGAACAACAAACATCATGAATAACGTGCAGAAACATTCACACAGACAGGGCTGTGTGCTGAAAAAAGACAGGAGGGAAAAAATGTGACAACAGCAGAGTCATTCAAATGCAAAAGAAAAAAAAATGGCTTTAGACGAATGAGAGGGTTCTGTATTTCATTACTGACCAGTTGCTACTGGTAGACTAGCACACTGCTTAAAGATTAGAGAAGCAAGCCAACAAAGATGCTATCAGCAATAATTTCAAGGCTAATTAAAATGTTGCTTTTGATAAGGTGGTGGAGTGCCCCCAGCTGCAAGAGAAGACTTGGAATTTTGTACTGCTGAGAAGAAAATATGTGGTAAAACGTGTAATGTGGTATTAAACTGTAGGATTGTTATTTGTCACAACAGTAAATATCACAATATATAAAGTAACAAATGGTAAAGAACATTTGTTTATTACACAACTTTCTATTTATCTAAATTTTTAGCAGCTTTCCCCCCCCAATTTACTCCCATGATACTCCAAAATGTTTCAATGTAATGTTCGCTGACATGAAGATACAACATTTTTTTAGGTCAATACATTTTTCGACAGTGACATTTTTTAATATGATGCATAAAAATATTACTGAGTATTTCACCCAAAGCTCATTAAGGTAAAGTAAAGTGGGACAATTCCAAAAAAACGATCCCACAAAGAACAACAAAGAACATTTAGAATAAAGGCTGCACCAATGGACAGCAGGTTTCACTTACCTCTATACGCTGGGAGTTCACCTTCTTTCCTTTTTTGTTCCAACTAACCTTTGGCTTGGGGTCACCTGTTGCCTGGCAGACAAAGGAGACCACACCCCCCGAGACACCAATCTGGTCAACGGGAACTTTTGTGAAGCGTGGTAGTGCTGAGGAGCAAGACAACAGAGAAAGAGGGAGAGGACAAGAAGAGAGGGAGATACATTAGTAGACGAAAGGCAAATGCAGCACCACCAGAGCTAATGCCATTCTTACCATAATTACATTTCTGAAAATACAGACTTTTAAATCCCGGTTTAAGTGCACGCATCCATAGAGAGAGACGCTAGTACAGAACGTCTCATCAACCTCCACTTGGCTCTTCCCTTTCAGTCTCTTACTCTTGTCTCCATAGCACAGTGCTGCATCTTAGTGTTACAACTTCAGAGTTCTGCTGGGCTGGGTAGAGAGCATTGTGGTGTGAATTTATATGTAGAGTCTTTGCTAAGGCATAGACGATTATTAGCTTAAAATGATTACCCACAGAGCAATAGAGTACAGCCTAGCATACTACCGGCGTTGCTGGGAATACATTAGCGAAGGCAATTAAGAAGATGAGACAGTAAAAATGAGTTTTTGTTTTAATTTGACGCTATTTTTTTTCCAAGTGCTTAACATGACTTTTCCTGCTGGACAAAGTATAGCACTGACTAAGCCACTGCAGCAGTTCAATTCTCACTTGCACTAAAACATACTAAAAATTGATCTGCCCGGGAAAATTGATGCTTTTGCCCGTCAAAAGTTTGTAATTTTGGTGCTTTTGGAGCTGGAATTTTCCCCTCCTGCTTGGGTTGCAGCAAGTTCAAGACAACAAGTCTGATAGAAAGAGAGAAACAGAGAGAAAACAGACTCCTGGGGAACTCGTTAAAATGGAATCATACAGATATGTGGGGATGATCAAACGGCCAGCGCATAACGTCAAATTAATAATTAAGGGACCATGGGCCAACACCAGTCTCCAGGCACTGCTAAACACATATGAAGGAGAGTTCCTGCATTCATTATCTGGTAAAGAGATATATGCAATTGGAGAATGAGGTAAGGGGGAATAGCGTTAGACAAGGGGAAGGAAAAGAAGAAGGGCGAGAAGAGGCACTACACAATCCAAATGTTTCTGATGCAAATATCACAGCAACACACACATACTAACTTTAGCCTGCTGAACATTGTATTTTTTTAAAGTGTAAATGGTATTGCAAGACTGTGAGATTTTAAAGCGCTAATTTGATAGTAAATTTTGTTTTCATATATAACAAAATCTCTTCCTGCAGTCTGTGAGAGATGGATATTGTCCACACTGAACTAAATAAATATTATTACAATAACATTACTAACTTCAGAAGCTTATTCTATGTTTATGATACATGCAGAGTATGTATGTTACAAACCAGTTCCTTCTGAATACAAACCTGATGTTACTTAATGAACTAATTTAGGATTTAAACATAAAGAAATTTAAATTTGTCAAACAATGTTCTCCAGCTCACAGAAACCATATAACATGCACGATAAAAACAATGAATTTACAAAAGAAAACAAAACAAATAACACTCTGTTGTTTATTTCACTAGAGTATACTTCCTATATCTACGGTTAAAGGTTGTGGTACAATATAGGTACGGCATCCTTTCATTGTCATCAAGGACCAGGCCTGCTTTATTTGTGCGTTGCATACTATGACCCCTTTTGGCATTTTACACTTTCAATTTCCATTCTGAAACTCCACAACACAGCTTTACACAACACAGCTCCTCTGCATTTGACCTCCCCCTTACAATGCGCTCTCTGTTGAGACAGAAGAGGGATTTACACAGATCAAGCCTGTGGCGGTGGTTCTGCTGAAGGACAGCATTCTTTGATTAGTTTTTCCCCTGGACCATTTGACATTTCCACCCAGTCGCCTTCTCCACCTCTCCCTGTCTCGCTTCATAGGATGTGAGAAATGTACAATAAATGCGATTGTTTGCATGTGCGTCTGAGTTGAACTCGTGAAACGTGCAGAATTTTCAGAACTAAATAGTTTTCAATATTATCTCAGCAAGGTTTAAATAAAGCGAGACAGCTGGGGAGCTGAGAGGAGAACGAAAAAGAGTGTGACCGCTGGGAAGGACGGAAGGACAAGTGTAGCAGGAGGTGGAGAGGTCAGTGGTAAAGAGAACACTGGAAGAGAAGAGTAGAGAAGGTGACGGGAGGTCCAGAGAATCGAGGAGAGGCTGTGAAGAGAGAGTGCTGCATATTTCTAAAGCTTTTATAACTTTCAGTACCTATTGCTTTTTTTTTGTTTGTTTTTTTGGTTATTTGCATTTTTCTTTTTCTTTTAAATGCATGAGATCAAACGGCCAGTTAATACCTTTTGGAAACAGTAATATCTGCTGTACGTGCTGCAACATCTTAAACTCCTTGGCGTCTGGTGTCCATGTACCCCTTATCAGCGAGGCATTTACGACAGTATTCACTGATCACGCCACTAACAATAAGTCTGATTTCTAAGACCTAGATTTACATTAACTCTCATCTAAAGCGACATTCAATAACGACGAAAGGAAGGGTGACCAGGGTTTTGTACATTTTCTGAAAGCCGTCCTAGATTCTTCTGAATAGAAGACATCCATTGCCTGGGGACGAAATAAAAATGTAAAACGCAGCTAAGAACGTCTATCACGGCCACCAGCTCAGCTGTAAGGCGGCACTCACAGCTCGACAAAAGCTAATGCTAGTGCTAGAAAATGGAAAGGTAGTTGTGCAAATGTAAGACACAATATCTCTCTCACGATGAGGACATCAGTCTACGGCCTACAGATGTCACTGCTGTCATAGGTTAATCCCTGGGCGTCACTGTTCACAGAGACATGCATCTCAAATTCAACCTCTACAGAGATTACTGCAAGGCATAAAATTGCACATAATTATATCGCACTGCCTGAAAGTTTTGTCACATAAGGACTGGCAAAAGTTTTAACTCTAGCTCTGCTCTCCTTCCTTGTATTTTTAAGGGCATATTTTTAGACTTTAGTCATCTCACAAAGTGAGTTTAATGTTCTTGGAAGTCAGTAGCTTTAATTAACTTCCAGTCAATTCGGATTAGGTAAAGTTGTCTGCACAATTCATTTAGATGGACTCCCAGTTTAACTGAATGTAGTTCTTGTTTTCAATAAAAACACTAAAAAAGTGTGTTTAAGACATTAAAGGAATAAAATGAATGGTGGGCAAACGTATTCTGCTGAGGTGTTTCTGTGTACCTGTCTGCATATGTTTGACTGGCACTGGCTGTTGAATGTCTATAAAGGTGCAGTTACTGCAGGTATGCCGTGTGTGATTGTGTGAACTCTGATGAGCATAATTAACCTTTTGTTCTGTTTTTCCCAGCTGTGATCCTCTGGGCTTTTGCTGCCAGTTACCACTGACTCCAAGTTCAATTTGAACTTTGCCAACACCAGTAATTGCAGGGTAAGAAAGGTTGAACGGAGCCTGGATTTAAAGTGCTTTGCAATAATGAATAATGGCACAGAGGGTCCTATATCAACAGATAAAATTGTTCACAGTGTTTCCTGCATTGAATGGCCCATGTGATGACGATATGCACTGACACCAGTATCAAATTATATCAAATGCAAGTACAAAAACTGCAAGTCTCTGGCACCTTCTTGCTCATTAAGGCTACATTTAGCACCAAATCCTCCAGGTTTCCTTTGGTCCAGTGGGTAAAAATAGCTTTCAGTTCATTTTCATGAAGGCAAAACATTTAGAAGGTTCTCTTTGAACTAGTAGGCAGGTTATATTCCCACTAGTGCCACCTTTTCTGAAAATATATGCACTTCTATGGCTCTAAGGTAACTCGCATGTCAGTCTCCACGTACTGTTGTTCGTTATGTTACCAGAGATGACATTGAAAGGACACTGCACCCACAGTGGCCATTTGTCCCTTCTACTAAAGTCTCCCTCTATTCACTAAGCTTCCCACAGACAGACTGAGGTACAGCCTTGCCTAGATAAGCACACAGAACCTGTCTTTATCTGCCTGGCAGGGGGACGTGGCCTAAGCTAAAATAACCAGCAATAGGGGCCCAGCTATCTTCACAAGGCCCCGAGAATAGAACAGATCCACGCAAACAAGAGTGAATAGAAGAAGGAGGAAAAACTCACACTGTGCACACAGACGCTTGTTTAGCTAATACAGCAACCACCTGCTACTGGCCGCTACCTCTGTTGGACCCGATAACACAGAATACACCAGCACTGTGATTATAAAGTGGCAGAGAGTGGGAGGTGGGAATGTGAATATGAGACGGCTCCATTTACAGTACTTTACTGTTGTCGTTTGGTGGGGGAGGAGGGGTGTGAGAGGAGGGAGGGGACTGGCTTTATGACTAATACGGTAATTGATGGAGAAAAGCTTCTCGGGTCATAAATAGGAGCCATTATCCTCTGAATTAGCAAAGTGGGAGACAAAATGATGCACAACCATTCAGTGATTTGCAGAGAATTGGTAAAGGGCACTTGTTATCCATCTTGCTACAAATAGGTATCTTTCACAGCACACGGGACATTTACCAGCAATGTCTAAAAAGTACATTTGGTACTATGAGAGGTATTACAACCAGCAAATCAATTTCACTTACTCCAGGCTGCTGCAGGATCCTGAGAATAGGGTGGTCAGGATGGAGATGCAGATTAGTATAACATTAATTTTGCTTTTTTCTCTTCTTCTTCCTCTTCTTTTTTAAATGCCAATTTACTCATAATGACTTAAAAGTGCATATATGCAACTTAATGCATATCCCACTCACGGCCCTTTTATCTAAGCAGACACTCTAAAAGCCTGTCTGGCAGGGATAATCTTAAGTCTACTTTGTTCTGCTTACACAGTGCATGCGAGAAAATAGAAACCACAGTGTGTCACAAATTTAAACAAGTCAATTTAGTGACGCTAAACTAAGATTAAACTTAATTTCTGTGTTACCCAAACAGCAGACACATGATCTACAGGGTGCAGTCAATATACTTCAGGGTGGAAATTCCTCATCTCAACATTAACTTTGATTTTTGTAAGGCCTAAAAAACCCCATCTTACTAGGTCAACTGCTGGTCTCGCTTCAGTGTGGGATGTTTC